AGTTCAATCACACAGTACTCGTGCTGCATTTGCCATGAATCGCCCTTTTTGGTATTATATTCGCGGGAAAGTCGCACTATATTCCTATCAATTCGAAGAACACTCGCAGTAACTCGATCAAAGGACACTCGCACTTAACTCGTAGAATACTCGCAGTGTCCCGAGTACTACAAAAAGCACGAATGTAGAAGATTTAGTACGAATTTGTGTACGAGTGCAGTGCCAGTGTTGTGCGATTGTCTACGAATACTAAGATCGTGGTGTGTCCGCGATTGTTTTGAACATGCTCAAAAACCTCCGTACGAAAGCCGGATAGGCTCAATTTTGACAAAAATTTAAAAAAAATTAACTCGTTATAACGAGATAGTTATCTCGTTATAACGAGTTAGGATCTCGTTATAACGAGATAATTATCTCGTTATAACGAGTTAGTTATCTCGTTATAACGAGTTAGTTATCTCGTTATAACGAGTTAGTATCTCGTTATAACGAGATAATTATCTCGTAATAACGAGTTAGTTATCTCGTTATAACGAGTTAGTATCTCGTTATAACGAGTTAGTTATCTCGTTATAACGAGTTAGTTATCTCGTTATAACGAGTTAGTTATCTCGTTATAACGAGTTAGTTATCTCGTTATAACGAGATAGTTTTCTCGTTATAACGAGATAGTTTTCTCGTTATAACGAGATAGTTTTCTGAATAAAAATGGCTGTAGTTTTTAATGCCATTGAATTTTTAGCTAGTAATTATCAGTCAAACTTAACTTGAACAATTTATAAATGGTAGAAAATTTAATTTGCTCTGGGTTTACTTATGATTAAATCTTGAACTATCTCGCTGTCAATAATCATATTTTGATAAGTATAGCAACTCTAAGGCGAACACATTTACACATTAATTCTGAACGCCTCCTCAAATTGTTGCATTAGGACGCGATATTTTTCTTAAAATAATATTGCCAAATATACTTGCTTCAAACTTTGGCAATTTATTTATGACAACTATTTCTGATGAATGACACTATTTCGACATGTTTTGGACGACTAAATAAATACACTTTCATATATCAATTTCTATTCCGCTAAAATTAAATATCAGAGACAATATAAGTACAACATATCGCAGGCGTTTATGCAACATATATATACGATTACAGTGCGATACATGTGTTGTTTTTGAGATTCAGAAATGTTTTGAAGAAGGGGGGTGGTGAGACATCAGCAGTTAGATCATAGGCGTAGTAATAGGGGGGCTAATGTCCCCACCACCACTTTTGAAGAGGGGGCGGTCAAGGGTATTTTTGTGCTCCTTCCTCCAGATTTTTTTTACCTGAGTAAATATCTCCCGAAAATAATGACGAATACTCGTAGTTGGAATATCAAATCTCTTTTTTTTCTATTTGCTTGTCAAATATTTTACTTGGTTTAACCCCCCCCCCTCCCGAACTTTGTGACTAAGCTTATGCAGATTGTCCACGATGATGAGGAATGATGAAGCAAAAATGATATTACGTCCTTCTAAGTAATAAGACGTTAGATTTGATCTGCTGATATCGACATTTTATCTAATATTCTGTCATGATTCACTGTTTATATTTTTTGCTATTTTTTGCGGGGTGGGGGGTCCAAGCTGTGCAGATTCACGTAGACCTATTTGAGATTCACGTCTATTTGGCGGATCCTATGTTTACCACATGGTGACAAAACATCAAACCAGAGTTTACAACACACAAAAAAAAGTTTACAGAGTTTACAAAGCCAGTTCACTTTTATAATCTTTTTAATTAGGATTGATCAACGAATAGGACTAATACTATACATGTATTACAAGCCCGTTATGCATAAATTATCCCACGTTTTCAACTTTCGTTGATGTCCCTGGCATACTCTACTAACTAGACAGTGATTCCTTATATTTCCATTTCATTTTGAAATAAAATTGTAAATTTTGATTTTAGAAATGTAGACTAATAGATTTAAATTACACGAGGCCTCACATGTCAATTTCAATAGTCCCCGCCCACTGACGTCAAACACAAAGACAGCGGCATGAGAATTACATGCATATTAGGCCTCCTTAAGAGTCTTACTCAAAGACAGCTGCACGAGAAATACATGCATATTATGCCTTCTTAGCTACTGACCTTTCGCTTGGCAAAATTTGCATTCCGTTAGAATGATCAAGAAATCAACTCTCCTAACTTTCAAAGAGTTATCACAGAGAAAACAAATAGAAATGGAAATATTATTAATAAAACATTGAAGCAATGTCTTTAATTCTTTTCCTCATCACAATATCACAATATTTATTATGTATACTTTGCATGCAAGCATATAATTTTTATTTCAAAAAGAGATTGATGATTTTTTTGGGGGGTGGGGATGGGGGGGGGGTTATAAATAGAGGATATTCAATGTTTTGTAGTTGATATGGAATTTATTTCAAGAGTGGGACAGGATTTTTTTTATATTTTCACGAGTGAAAATATCAAAAATCCTGTCTCACGATACAATACATATTTCTAGGCATAATTTATGCTTGAAATACACCTTAATTAATGCGTATCATATTGTAAATTTTAGATATTAAACTTTCATTCTATCACAAACATGTCAACTGTTTTTACTATTGTCAAAGTGAGGCATGTGAATTTCCTGCATGCACTACATTTCAGCCTGGTGACCTTCATCTTTTTATTGTGGCTTCCGTAGAATAAAGAGCTCCAAAAGTTTTTTATTCTATCACATTGATAATAACGCTTAAAATACATATTGTACATGAGATTTCATGCCAAATTGGTAAATTAAAATGTTTCTTTCTTTTAATAAACAAAAGAAATATATAAATTATTAAGTGATAAGTACAGTATTAGTTCTTGAAATTCATCATATTTATTATTGCGGGGAAGGAGGGATTGATGATAAAAACAACGTGAATTTATTTTTTTTCAGACATTGAATTTTGATCTTGCCCTGCCCCTTTAAGACGATAAAAATGAACTGGTATTTCTTAATTGTTAACAGGCAAGGAATTTTCAAAATATGGACGTTAAAGCCTAACAAATGGTATCATATCGACATTAGTAATTCGGAATATATAAAATAATGGGATTATTTCTATGCATTTTTTATTGCGACAAATATTACGCAAAAATTATCATAATTTTAACATAGTCAAGAAAGCTTGAACAGGCCAGTTAAATCAGACAGAATATATCTTTAGTTTCTCTGATCTCCTTGTACAAGTTGACAACATTTTGACGTTATATCCATTCCATTTTTTAAGATGACACTAATTCTATTTTGCAATTTTAAGGTATAACACAACAACATGAGGCGGTCATAAGTTTCCGTATATTTGTCTTCGGTCTTTTCAATGAACAATACTAATCAAAAGCATAACACATAAAATCTTTATCAGGCACACTTCAAACAAATTTGATCGACTGGCTTCTGTTTATTTCCTATAAATAATAGTACATGTATATTCTTTACTTAGATATATCAACTCTTTAGATCAATTTTTATCTCGTTATAACGAGATAACTAACTCGTTATAACGAGATAACTAACTCGTTATAACGAGATAACTAACTCGTTATAACGAGATAAATAACTCGTTATAACGAGATAATTATCTCGTTATAACGAGATAACTAACTCGTTATAACGAGATAACTACCTCGTTATAACGAGATAACTACATGTAACTCGTTATAACGAGATAACTAACTCGTTATAACGAAATACTAACTCGTTATACTGAGATAACTAACTCGTTATAACGAGATACTAAGTCGTTATAACGAGATACTAACTCGTTATTACGAGATAATTATCTCGTTATAACGAGTTAAATATTTTTTTTGTCTTGTCAAAAATGAGCCTATCCGGCTTTCGTACCTCCGTGATGAACCCCGAATAACGGCTATTTTAGAATTTTTTATTTCATAATGAATCGACTAGCTCTAAATCGTGACAGTGTGACGGGGCTCTTTCTGCAATACCTGCAACGTTATTTCCATACTAACAAACAAACAGACATTTTATTGCTAATATTTATGTCTGTTTAAATAAACGTATAAAGTAGGATTAAGTACCCGTTAAATATTGTTTTACTGATATGTACATTACGTCATTGTATATATTGCAATGATGGAAGAGCCACTGCATAAGAAATCTATGCAGGTGGCTGGCATAGGGGAGTTAAAGTATTAATTTAAATGACCTTGGTTTTCATAGAAAAAAAATCAAAATAAAGATAATATTCAGTGGATGTTAATATAAAATAACACAAAAATTCCTCTTTACATAACTGTTCGTCTTGTTTTGGCAAGACTGGCACGTGTGCCTTTTATATAATTTACGTTTGTTGTAATGAAATAGTACACATTGTATGTATGTTGGTATTGATTGATAGACCTGGTTGTCTTTTCATCTGAAAAAGAAGGATTCAAAACCTTGTATATATACAAGATAAACTATCTTATCAGCTGCTTATTACTATACATAACCATCATCTACTTAAGATATGGTCGGTAGGGGCAGCAGTAAAATTATCGGAGCTACTAATTGCCGCCCTTAATTAACAAAACTATTGTGACAGTGCATCCCATTTAACATGACTCTTAAATTTAGGGTTATGAAAAAATAGCACCGGGGTGTAGGGTGAAGGGCTCCGCCCAGCTGTTTTTTATGTATTAAACAAACGTAAAACTGATTCATGCCTGTCATTAAATCGAAGCAGGGTGAAAGATAAATAGATCCCCGGTCTTTTGAAAGCACAGTCTAGAAGCAATCCTGAAATATATATGATATATTAGCTTTTTGTATACAAACTACTAAAATTATTCGCCATCTCTAGATTTTCTTCAATTTTAGTGGTAAAGAAATATTAAATATAATGGATATGAACGATTAAAAATCTCGCTCCGATGTTTTATAGCCGTACGAATCTTAGGTAGAGCAATGACCTTCGCCTTAGTTGAATGTGTGACGTCAGCGCTCCCCGATTTGTTTGCATTTTCGTACTTTTTCCAATCTTACTCCAGGAAAAACGTATTGGATATAGATTTTAACCGATGTAGCTCTTGGAAACGTTTGCTTGGTATGTAGAGTGGAAAATGTCGTCTGCTATAGTTCACGGATGTATTCCAGATATATAAATGCAGCGAATCGGCCACGTTTTTAATATATATTTACACCACACGATCAGAAAAATGGGGTCACGTCCGTTGTGAGTTCCCATCGTAGAATAACAGAACTCAATGTGTGAACAAGGGTGGCGAAAATAAAGAATTAGAATTAATAAGTTAATGATGGAATTATTTACAATCAAGCAGATCGACGACTTTATTTAGGGTAAGTGTTATTGATATAAGAGGTGTGTCTTTCTCAAGCCGGATTTTAATGCATGTTTATATTTATCTTTGCTGTAAAAGTTGTAATGTATAAAGAGGGAGCAAATATTTATTTTGGATTTAAGGAATATTGATGTGTCAGTGTCTTTTGTGAAATCTGAGTATTAATTCATTAATTCTGTTATCACGTATTCTCATTTTATCATGATTATGTTACAAGTGACTTAGTCAGTTACAGTAAATATATAAATATATTGTATTTCTCTGAAATCTGTGCAATTTCCGTGATATATATATATATATATATATATATATATATATATATATATATATATATATATATATATATATATATATATATATATATATATATATATATATAGTATGAGTATGTAGAATTATTAAGAACACCTGTCATCAAACGTGGGTTTAAAAAAAAGTTATAGTATTGATTAAAACGAGAAGATGTCTGCAAATGATAAAACATGAAGAATAAAAAAGTTAAGTTTGATGAATATCATACAGGAAGTATATCACACATTAGCGTATACGGAAATCATGGAAATGGAAAGAACATATAAAAAGAGGGAAAAAATCTTTCATGAAAAAAAATATATACTTAAAATAAAAAAGCAAGCGAGACACTTGGTAGAAAGCATGTGTGTTTTGTAAAATCTTGGTAAAGTTTACATATTTATTAAATGTACATAGAATGACAAAGCACATCAATTCAGCTTAAATGCCTTATGAACATGACAAGCATATCTAACTTTTAAAGCATAGTATACATTTCATAATTATTCATAATGTCGCGTCACGTGAATTTGTTCTGTTATCAAATTGTCAAAAAGAATGCGTCCTGTTCGCAATATTAAATCTTTCATACGGTAATAATACTCTCTCTGTATGAAAGGTGTACAACTGTCATTTCTGTAAATCAGTGCACGGAATCAAATTCATTACCCCTTTTCAAGGTTTTCGAGTGGGGACTGTTTACCTTGCGATATTTACGTGAAATCGTTTCTTATCGGTGTGAAATGGGTGAGAGCCATACGAACATTTTACACTCGCACCCTGTACTCTGCATGTACAGGAGTAGTGATGTATGGATGAAACAGTGTCAACGACCAGTGGCCGAGAAAAACCGGGCGCACTTGTCATGAACTGTTGAATTAATATTGCTTCTGTTCTCTTTGACTTGACTCAATGCGTATGGTACGCAAATGCTACATGATAAATGTTTATTTTAATATCAACACATCGTTCACACTCTTGATATTTTAATTTTAGAATGTTTAGTGCAAAATAGGATAAAATAGATGTCATTGTTTAGAATATTCGAGTCTAGCATGTAAATGCATTTTTTTATACGGTGCATCAACATATAGTTTACATATTCTGCATTGTTTTATGGCGGTGCTTACCGAATAAAAGGAAATTATATGCTTAGTACAGTAAAAGATTGACAGTGTCTGAATTTTTCTGACGATTTAATGAACCATGGTTCAAAATTGATCACTGCAGTAGGATATCGGAAAATCCGCGCTCTATGAAGACCCGGTTTATTCCTATCGAGGCAAAAGTCCAGTTCCACGACCAACCGCTGCACTCCGTCTCGTGACCTGGCGTATTGATATCTCCAGTGCTATGAACCAGGATGGGAAGATATAGTTTAAGAATAGAATGACTCGTGATAAATAGAAGACAACACTTGTTTTTTTCCCTAAAAGGAAATGTGATGCATTGTTTCCGTTTCGAGATTATAATGCTATTTTGTTGGTTTCTATTCATTAATTCTCCAAACTGATTATGTTAAAATTATATGTTTTTCTTAAAGACTTTCATAAAATATTGGGACAGTTTTTATTTTTACATTTACTATAAAATTGTACGTCAGTTTTGATTTCATAATTATGTACACTCAGATCTTTTGATGGTATTAAGTAATGTTTAAATAGAAGATACGAGTACATGTAGGTAGCTTGACCGCTGAGCAATCATTTTATATTAGTTTCTTAGCAAAATGTTATGCTACTTTTTTTAACAAATATGCAGAAAGTAGGAAAATTAACTGAACAGTAAGGTATACTAATTTTAATATGTCGTACAATAATGTTTCACGATATACATGTACATGTACAGTGTATATGTACTGAACATTCAGGTTGACCAATTTAAGTCGACCGTGTACATGTATAATTTAAGAAGCAGTGTACATTATTTTTTGTTTGTTATGTTCAAAAAGCTCGCACCTCTTCGAAATTCCACATACGCATCGTGTTAAAAGAGTTTTTCTTTTTTGAAAAAGTTCGAACTTTTTGATTTGTCATTAGTAAATTGATAAATGTCGATAAAGACTCTTTCATGCAGACACTTTGAACAAATTGGTTAGTCTAATGTATTATGTTTACTAGTAGATGTACATGAAACGTAGACATACACATATGTATCTTAAAAACTGCAACTCAAAGCTTTTTAATCATAAATATAAGTACACAAATATTTAAAATATTAAGTTCAAGCACGACACATATCCTTTACATAATCACGACTACTTGCAATAAGTGAGTATTTGATTATTAAGTCATGGTTTTTCTTGACCTAATTTTTCTTTCTCGAATTTTGTGCGGTTATTTTATTAATTAATTAATTAACATGAACATGATATAAATTTATCTGGATCTTTAATTCGAATTCAAAGTAAACAACGCAAATTCCTTGGCACGTTGTTTTGAATTCTGCAAATTCAAATTGATTTATGATATTCCTTTTGAATTTGAGTCTTTTGAATAAATATCATTTTTAGTCTGGTTGATCTTTTCACGATTCGATTAAAGTCACTCTATCGTTAAAATGACTAGTGTGTTATATGTCTATTTGTATTGATAAAATGGTCAATAATGTAAAACTGGAAGATACATAGGTTTTATTATTATTATTTTTTTTTTAATCTATCTATTATTAATCATATAGATCGTGTCGCTTGCGTACGAGCGAGGAGAGTACTTGAACTATACATTCTTGTCTTGTTCCCGACAGGCGAAAGTGAGCTATTTGCTGTGCAGATTATTTCAAATGATTTTATTTTTAGCAAATTGCCTTTTCAAGTTGTCGAATTTAGTGTATTGCATTTCTTTTAAGTAATATAGATTTTATCAAGTTCATGGAAAGATATAAAAATAGAATACTTGTAACAAAGCCTTTTTTTTTTTTTACATGTTTTAGTTTGTTTACTTTCATTCTAAAAGAAATTTTATATATGGGGAAGCAAGACGATTAATTTTAACTTATCTGATAGATGTCAAGAAATTTCACGTTCAGATGTTTTTTTTCTGCGATTGGAGCAATGCGTAAACTGAAGATTCGAGTAATCATTTGGAAGTATGAATTTTAAAAGTACAACATCTTAAGTAATATGTACAATGCAGTGAAATAGATAGAGCGACGGATATTATAAGGTTCTCATTTGAACACAGTAGAAGAATAAGGTAATTTGTACGTGTTTTTGGTTTTTTTTATTACTTCAAAAGGTGCTAATTAATCGCGTCATGACTTACCTGAGTATAAGAACTTGAACACCACGACTGTCTCTCCCATCATGAACTTCATCTCCAAAGGAACAGCGATTCTTAATAATTCATATTGATTTGTTTTGACATATTTTTTTTTTTAAAATGAGGCTGGAATTTGAGGTAGGATTTCTTTAAATTCAGTTTAATTTTTTTTACGTTCACGAAAAAGTTGTGGGTGTATATGTAGGCTATATGTTTTTAAAAGCTCGTTTTATTTTGTTCTAGTTTATGGATCAACTAGTGTGGTCCAACCACGATTCAAACTCCGCGTGATATTAGCACAACTTTATAATATATCTTGTATTCTATATGATTTTGAAAACTGACGCTGTTTAATATCATTTTATTTTGATGTGATAACGCGTATTATTGGAAACAGGTTATCCAATAAACTTGAACTTTTGAATTCGTTATGAAAACGTATTACTTGAAAGCTTAGAACCAGCTTTGCCTATCCTCTAGAACAAATTCAATAACTCTGTATTATTAATGCAAATAAACTTATAGAATTTCAATTTTGATATGTTTTATTATATTTTAAATTGTGAATAGAAAGTATTGTTTCATTTCAAAATTGACCTCATTTTAGCGTAAAAATATATTTGTGAAAAATATTGACCGAGTTTCATAAACAAGAAATATACATGTATATTTAATATTTCTTTCTAGTGAACTGAAACCGAAACTTAACCACACGTTCTATATACATGTACCTCAAACTGTGGTCGCATTATACGAACATGTCCTCATATAAATAATGTTTTATATTGTAACCGATAATATCTAGAGGCATTGACTTACATGATTGAAAAGTGTATTGCTGTTTTGAGGAAATCGCTAAGCAGATCCACCCACGCGTTAAGTGACTTGCCTACTTCTTGTCCAATGAGACAAGACTGGTATACTTGTATATTTTTCTGTTTTCTCCCCTTCTGATTATAATGGCGACTAATTGTGTATATCTCTGTCTACTATGTCTCTAGTCCAAAGGAGATCGTTTTATTCTAACCCACATATTTTCTCGCTTTTTTTTTTCGCTACAAAATCTCATATTTTTCTTTCTCATCGGCTTTCTTTACTCTCTTTTTTACGATCTCGATGCATTCCTAAGTTAATTTGCAATATTACCATTTAATGATGATACTCAATAATTTATGCCATATATACATAAGTACATGCATATATTAAATTAACAACTAATAATATACATATAACTTCATAAACATGTATAATGTAACCATATGTACTTATAGGGTACACATTACTATTAAGACATTCGCTCATATATCTATACCATGCAGTGTGAACATCAGTTTGTTAGCTAGACTTGTTCTTTGTTCTCACTGCCTCGTACTTTCTCATGTTTATTCCTGAGGAAGTCGTTAAAGGTCGTGTGCTATAATTCAGAGATCTTCATGGCTTTAACTTTGGAGTGCGATCTTCTCGTCTTGTCACAACAGAAAACTTGATATCGCGCCTTCTCGTATCGCTATTTACATACCTGACCGCTTTATTAATTGAAAATTTCTCCTGCATTAATGCGGACATTATCAGATACTGCTTTACTCAGGCATAGTAATCACATTAAAGAGGTAAAAATTAGACTGATATATAACGTGACCCAGAAAGTTAATTACCCATGATATTTTTTGTCGATGTAAATCCTCCACCCATTAAGCAGTTGATAGGATTACCTTGATCGTCTGCTAGATTTGTAATTGTTCTATTTTAGGGTTGTTATCGATATTTTAGTCTTCGTAACATGGTAAGGAATTCAAAAACTTACATCGGATTGGCATTTCTGATTACATTAAGAATATCTCGCATCTTACTGTTAAAAAAAAACACCAGGTGGACACCGACTTGTAATTAAAAACGCAGAAAGGATATATTTAATTTTATGATAGCAAGAATATAATGGTACATCCGGGTGTTATAAGTAAGCACATGGATAAGAATATCGATCAATCTTCACAAGTTATTTAGTCTTACGTCAATATCTGTACTACCCAGTCGTAACAAGAGCTTAATACGCATTTCCTTGATTTTTTTTTCCAGCTAAACCTGACAGTTCTTACTGCAAAGCGTAACTCTCAACATGTATTGGTCAGCACAGTCATTGCAAGACGACAGCATCGTAGATGCTTCTGGCAATAAACTCGAACAAGTGACGACTAATTCAAGCAATCTTGACCGTTCCAAAGAAAGACATTTAACATCTACTCCTTTGGATCTCTCGGGATCGTTCACCGATTCACAAAATCCACGAGAAGTGGAAAGTCCTTTGGATTTATCATTGAAAACGAGAAAACGCCAAGCAGACTCTACAGAAATAAGGGAAATGTATCTTGCTCATCAACAAATGTATCCTTTTGGAAAAAGACCATGTGTAAATGTGACACAATCTCAAATGCAATACCTTCAAAAGCCTGTAGCTCAAAAAGTTTTACAAGGACCAAGTACTAGCAGTTATGGAGATCAAAGACAGGCAATGGATCGGCATATATCGCTTCAAAGACAGTACTTAGAACATACTAATGTTATAGAACGTAGTCATCAAGCACTTGAACAGAGACATGCTTTGGAACAAAGACAAGCGTTTGAACAAAGGCAAGTCCTAGAACAAAGGCAGGTTCTTGAACATAGACAGATGCTTGAACAGAGAAAAACTATTGAAGATCGTCAGCGACAAGTTATGGAAGAAAGACAACGACAAGCGATGGAGGAGAGACAAAGGCAGATTAGGGAAGAAAGGCATCTTCCACAAGGGTATAGCGACAGTTACTACAAGAAACATCCACCAAGCACGGGTTATCAAGAGATACAACAAGACATGTTACTGCCACAGAGAAACTCTAGTCAACAAGATATCTCTTTGGTGAAACAAGGCGTGGGTACACCTTGGCAGACTCAACAAATTGTCCAAAATAAATCTTTAGCTCAAGAACATTATCGGAGATCATCTCAGATCCGCTATTCAAGTAGAATGAAGAATCCAAGTTCAGATGAACAGTACTACGCCATGCTCCAAACTATTCAGAAACAAAATGCAGCAAAGAAACAGCAGATGGAAAAAGAACGTCTCTTTGCAGAAAGGACAGTTAGAATGCAAGAATCATTAACTGCAACGCAACCGAAACTTACTCCAAAAGTCAGCACAATGTCTCATCCAGCTCCCTTCTTGGAAAGACCAGCACAGGCTTACTTGCAAAAGCCATCATTGAATAACGATATTAATTATAATCAGCAATTGTGGAAAGCAGGGTTTACTGAATCAGCACAACAACGTATGATTGTTGAAGCAGCCCAACAACAACACAATGTAGAAAGTCCCCATGCAATTAGCATTGGGAAGCACAGAAACACGATGGCTTCTTACAACGTTAACATAAAGCAAGAGCATCCCGATCTGTTGCCCGCAAGTGGATACAAAAAGCAGTTAGGAAATGATATGCCTGTACAAATGGAACAGAGGCACCCTTATTTGGGTCAAGCATCCCAGATTCAACATTCCTCAAACACGCTAAAAGAGGTAATGATTGCTGGTAACCCTCATCAAATGAAAGGGTTACGGAATTCTGGTTCTAGAGCATCTATGTCCTCAGAAATTCAGATGCCTCACCAAACAGAGAGGTCAATAATGAAGGGAACTAGTGGGGTATATGGTGTAAATGGATTTCAGAAATCGGCATTAAATAAGGTGTCTTTAAAACAATTTTCAACACATGAAGGAATCACGAAACATAATAGTGAATGCCAAAAATCTTGCGATGGGCACGAAGTACCCGTTTCTAGTCATAAATCATCAACAGTAGATCAATATTCAAAACAGAGACAACTAAGTAAAGCACAAAGAGAAGAACTAGGAAAAAAGAAAGAAAGTGACGACCCCTTAAACGACAATAGGTTAGTCACACAACTTTTTAGAGGAATCATAACACACAAAGGAGGGACGTTGTTAAACGAAACATTGAAGCAAAGAGAGGAAACGAAAGTTCCTCGTGAAGACATAAAAGCACAGGAATCGGCAGGGTCCAAGACAGGAGAGGTTTCCGAGCGCTTATCATCTCCACTTTCAATATCGATACCAAACGCCTCTAACTCATGTAAAACAGAGGAAAAACTGGAAAGTAAACCACGACCGTTCTCCAAGAAACAATTAATCATGAACGCAGTTAACAGAGACGAAGATCTTCGGAAAATTGTTAGCAATTCGGAAAAACCAAAAACTGTTATTTTTTCCAATCCAGATATCAAAAGATCTCAAACTACATCCCCCGTTGGCCCCGAATCCCCTAAAATGCCAACTTTAAGTCCCCAACAAAAACTTCAACCGTCTTGTCTGTCTCAACAGGTGACGGAACCACCTACCCTTGACATTGATGGTTCCCAGAAACACGAGTCCTGTTTACGTTCTGGTCCCACTTCGTTCTGTCAGGATAAAAAAAGACTGAGGCTTTTGTCATCACTCCCGAAGAAAACTCAGCCTGTCATTGAAGACGACGAAGAGGAAGAAGATTCCGGTGAAACTCAAAACGAGGTTTCCATACACGCCAACAGTGTGTTTGCAAAGAGGCCTTTCTTGCACTACAAAAAGATACCTATTGCCAATGTTGCACCGATGGTTCACGAAAATTCCACAGAAGAGCAAAAGGATACTCCTCCCATTGTCTCAAATGGAAGTACTGGCCAAAAACGAAAGCTGGATGAAACATTTGACAAACATATAACTTCCTCAATCAAAACATATTTGAATGAAAATTCTGAAACAACAGTCAATTTTTCAAGAGAAAACGAAACACATTTGAGTGTTATTAATAATATTAAAGAAAGGGAACAAATTATTAAGAGCAGACGATTGTCGGATTCTGAATGTGTGCTCAAATCCTCGGATGGTTGTGATCGGAATTACAAGCCGCTGAAGATAGAGAGACGTCATAAGTCTTTGATTCAAGAATCAAGTTCCAGTCGAAGAATACCAGAACTTAAGAATTTTATGGTAAATATTCTCTATACCTCGGCATATTCATTGCGGGGCATAAAAAATAACAGGTCTTATTTTAGCAAAGTCATGTTGCCTTTTTCAGCCTTGATTAAACAAAGAGTGCGGATAAATACCCAAATGTTTAATATAAGCCATTGGTAAATATTTGCTCAATGAATAGCGTGGATCATAATAAATTAAACAGGAGTGACTGAACTCGCGTAAGGTCGAAGTCCTGACTACGGGAATGATTATTGACCATTAATTTCCGTTAAAATAGTCTCTTATTACAATTTGTACGCAGGAACGATGAAACTGACTCAGCGATTAAAAAATAGGTTTCTAATAAATAAAAGTTACAAAAGATACAATACACTGAAGAAGAAACTTTGTTCAGAGCTGTAAAATAATAATAAAGTCGATAAATTCTTGTTTTATTACCATGCTACATAAGCCTCGTTTCTTATCAACCTAAAAATAAAAAAGAAATAAAAATACTTTCCCAATACAAAAAAATAAATAGGACCGGGGGGGGGGGGGGGTTATGGGGTAGTTTTAAGTACATGTTTCCGCCTGGGATATTTATCTTTTCCTCCAATTATTTCCATAACTAGCAGATATGTATATTTTAATACATAGATGAATTGAGGTACAAAAAAACTCCACCATTTAAAAAATATCCCAAGACGATAGCTTAAAGGGGAAAAGGTGCACAAGTTCGAAAAAAAAATGCCCATTCCGAAATTGTCCATCCCACTGTTATCTATTTCCTTGCCACCCCCACCCCCCCTTCCCCCAAAAAGGGAATATACATGTACTCACTGGTAAAAAGAAAAGTTTCATACCGTCGAAGATTGTATATAGTACATGTACATAGAGTTTATCATATCCGTCTTCCGTCCTTCCGTCCGTCTGTCCTTCCGTCGAGCTTTGCGTTTAGCTCAGTTCAAAGCAGCTATTCAAGATATTTTTATCAAACTTCATATGCTGATATATGTATATACTTATTGATGAGAGCTATTCAACTGCATCAACATTTTTTGACCTTGATCTTTCCTTTGACATTGACTTCACTTTTTTTTCTAAAATTAGTGCTTAGCTGATTTTTACAGAAACATTCAAGATATTTTTATCAAACTTCGCATGCTGATACATACTGATGAAAGCTATTGACTTTTACCTTTCCATTGACCTTGACCTCACTTTTCTTAAATTAGTGTTTAGCTCGGTTTGAAAAGAAACCATTCAAGATAGTGCTATCAAACTGCATATGCTGATAAACACTGAAGTAAGCTATTCAACTGCATCAACATTTTTGGACCTTGATTTTTCCTTTGACCTTGACCTCATTTTCTTAGATTTGTTTATAGCTCAGTTGTAAAGAAACCATTCATGATATTTTTATCAAAGGAGATGGGCGAACATAGCGTGCAGAAAGCCTATAAAAATCATGTTCAGTTTTAGAGTAAAGTTCTCATTATTGAAGTTTATGAAATTGCGATAAACAAAACTTTTCTGAGGAAAATTTTCTCGGCAAAATTTATTCTTTTATTAAAAAAATTAATGTGGTATTCGTGGGGTTCGAACCCTAGCAATAAAAATCCTGAGTATCATTTTCTTTCGAGACAAGCACGCTAACCACTAGACTACACAAGTCCTGACGAACAGTGGCATTTAAATCATGTTTGTGATATGACCCTTGACTTAATGGACTTCAAGTATTTCTCGAAAAGATGCGAATGTTATGTCATAAAAGTATATTTTTAAGGTATAGTGGGTCATTGCTCCATATTTTGGTAACCAAAAAATGTATATTTTTATGCAAACTTTGAGGATTAATTTTCAAAAAGGTGGAGCGAAGACCCACTCATATCGAAAAATAGTGTTATAGTATGAGAAAATGACTCTTTTTGCCCGCTTTAATGTGTGTCTAATATTTCACAGGCAAATAATTTCAATCTTTGAGGGATTTTTGCAAATTGTAAAGATTTTACATAAAGTATATTTTAATGTTAGACGAAATATCAAGGAAATCTTTGATATAATTAAAATTTAAATTTTCATCTTCATGTTTGTCACACAGTAGGCTTATCGCTCGTCATGTTCACCCATCTCCTTAATATGCTGATACTTATTAGTCAGAACTATTCAACTGCATCAAAAACTTTTTACCTTGACTTTTCCTGTGACCTGACATATCTTTTCTTAAATTTGCATTTTGCTTAGTTTTAAAGAAACCGTTTAAAAAAATTTTGTGTAAGCTTATGCACTTGTACATAATTTGGTGAGAATTTTTCATCCAATTTTTCTAGATTTCAATTTCAATTTTAAAGAAACTATCAAGATATTCTCATCAAACTTCATGCACTAATACAAATTTTCATGTTGCATTACTAATATAACCTCGGCGGGCCATTCATGTCCTGTGGGCATATTTCTAGTTTTTGAGTTTTCTGTTATTGTTTTTTTTTTTAAAATAGTTCTAAAGTATAGGAAAAGAGACAACAAAAAGTGAACATCTATTATAGAACATTTATACCAGAAAATACATTTTGGTTAATGTTTATTACAAAATTGTGGTGATTATTTCTGTGAGCAATTGTTTAAATAAAAAAACCTCACTATTATTATATTTCTAAATGTACTTTTTTTCTAAATAAACAGACAACAGATAACGATAAGACAGACAGTCGTTCTACATTCCACGGTAGAATCTGCTCTACATCAAAGACACAGAAAAAGGTATTTACGTATTTAAAATGTTATGCAATAGGGACAGTTAACTTAAAGCGTAAAGTACATTTTATTGCTAAGCTAAATATCACGACTCACTTTTCTTATACACAGGCAGACGACATTCGTCGCCGAGCGCGGGAAAGACATCAACAACGTCAGAGAAATAAGCAGATTCAGGGTGAGTAAAAAAAGTAAAAATGTATCCCCCTACCCCCCACCCCCACCCCACCCCCCATAAAAAAAATTGTGAAGATGCAACTTAATCAATCTTCTAAACATAATTATGTGTACTAAGCACTAACTGTAAAATTTGTAGGCGTTATCGACTGATGCACACATGCAGTCAAACGGATGTACATGTATACATGTATGACCGATATATGTTTTATTTTTGCGTGAAAGTCTGAGGAAAAACCACAGTACATAAAAATGCAAATCAGACTTTTCTGTAAACAAGCTGTGGCCTAAAAGTACATTGACATTTATATTTTACTTTTATTACTTGAAAAACATTAAAACAACGTTCTATTATCGTAAAGGAATATTTGTTGAAGTTTAATCGATTACAGTAAGCAATTTGATAAACAGCAATAGCTTTAATTTATTTTGAAGGAATATTAAAGGAATATTTGTTGAAGGTGAAAATGTGACATTGAATCGATTACAGTAAGCAATTTGTTAAACAACAATAGCTTTGATTTATTTTGAAGGCCAAGCTCTGCTTTCTCTGTCGTATGTTTCACTTGAAAAGCGATATTTGATAATAAATTATATGGAATAATTATTGATTTTATTGAGGAAACATTTCTGTAAACAAGTGTATTTTAAAGAAAGTAAATGGTGAAGACTCATTAATTTCATTGTCGACATATAAATCTTTCTATTTTAAATCAACTGTCTCCTGTAACATAGTAATTATTCATAAGAAATGTTCATACATGTACTTCTGCTTAATATTTCAAGATACGGAAACATTTCCTTGTATGTTTTGGCTCACCTAACCATTAATTCTCTATAGCGAGCGAGATAAATGTTCGTCGACTATCTGTGTATTTAGCTTACATGTAAACAATTTACATTTCCGATTTGGGTCAAGCTTAAAAATTCCTTGTTTGCAGTTGCCGACCCATACTTTTTTTCTATAGAGTGGGTACATGTAGGTAGGTTGTTTTGAAACAGAAATCAGATTTATATTTCTGGCTTTTATTGGACTTGGAGTCATATATAGGGATTTTCAAAGGGGTGCTGTAAAATCACTCATTTTCGAGCATTGAAAAAATGGGTTTTATTTAGCAGTTGAAGAAGAAACATGATACTGTTGTATAAATGTTAGCGTTTCGAGGGGGATATGAATTCGCGGATTCCGTCATACCACGAAAACAACGAAATTTAACCCCCCCCCCCGAAAATGAGTGATTCACAGTATTAAAAAATTATTTTCCTGCACGATAGTGACGCTACACCTAATTTAACCGCCTAATTGACTCACATAAAACTCGAAAACGGAAAACAAAACAGTTCAAGAATCTATAAAAACGTAAACATAAGAAAAAATCTCGATAAACAGCAGTAAAAATCGGGTGGAACGAAATTTAAAGGGGTCTGTATACAACTGCAAACAAACGATATTTTATTTAAGGTCTTCTAAGTTGATTTTCTACTTAAAGCTGTTAAAAGGGGCATTGAACTTGACAGAAAAGTCTCTCAAAGGTCTTGAAAAAGTACATGTGTTAATTGTTAAATTAATTTGGCCTATTGCGACTCTTAGAAAAAAATTCAAATACAGTGTATAAATATTTAGCTAATATAACGGTATAAGAAAGAATCCAACAATTACTTATTTTATTCGGGTTAGCATTGTATCCCACGAAAGTTCTTGTTTTAATTACAAGCAGGAAACCTAACAAATGGTGTCAGGAAAGGGCATCCAACAGCTGTCTAAAAAATGAATTATATGACGTGTTTTTTCTTCAATAAGACCAACTGTGATAGAGCATATCTAATTAAGAGACAAAGAGAAGAGATATGAGTTTGCTAAAAATATATATTATATATACATATCATGCTTAAGTTTTCTTCCTCTTCTTCCAGAAAATCAATCTCTCTATATCAAAAGCAGACGGCATAGCCAGGATAAAGCTCGAGGATTTATCGATTTCAAACCGGAAGTTCTCGTCAATCGAACTCGAACCAAAACTTGTAAGTCAGGATTGTTACAATTTCAATCAATGTTGTACTTTTCAAATGTCATTTGGCATCCTTCCTCTTCCTATACACTCATGATAAGTTGTATCAGATTATATGGAGCCTAATTATCCTTTTCTTGTCTGTAACTGGGGTGGTTTGTTTTCTTTCCTCTTGGAAAGTGATGGTCAATAATTATTTATTTTAAAGAAAAAGAAGCTTATTTGAAATTTCAATCAAGCGAACAAACTTGTATCTTTTTTTCAAAACCGGAGTCACTCAAATGACATTGTTTGATCCAATCAGTCCGCCGTGTCCGTTAGACATTTTTTCCCAGCTTCTTCATTGAAAGAAATCAAATCAATCATGTATTTTAAATAGTTAACTGAAGATTCCTTATTTTATGCAAGTAAATTAAGTGGTTTCGCAGACCAACGTTTACTTGTGCAGTACAAGTTAGAATTACACGTACGCGTTTACATCACTTTTCTTGTTTAGCAGTTTATAACTTGCACGTGTACTTGTGAATGCTTTTAATGCAAAAGTCTTTATCTTCGGATAATTGCTATATTTTTGTAAGTTTATCCACTGAAATTTATATTGTAGTACATCACTATTTTGATTGATTACATGCAAATATTTATTAAATCAAGTCCAAAAAAGTGTTCTTATACCCTTGATTACTTAAATCAAGATTTTGTGTATAAAACCGTAATAAATAATGTTTTACCATAAAAACATAAAGTTCCTTATATATCAGTACTTGCCCTAAATCTTTGGATATAGAAAAACAATATTTAAAATAAACAGCAAATAAGGAAATGTAAGCTACAAGTTTTCACTTACGGGTTCTCGGCGATCTACGTGTAGAATTTCATTGATATCAGAAGTGATGACGACACGTAATGCATAGATTTCACCCCATACACGTACATGTACAAGTGCACGACACGTTCGTTCTGCGAAACCTCTCTTACATGTATATCACGAATTGACTCCAAAACGCCAAAGCGCGAGAATTTGAATTCTGCGATTGGACTGTTGGTTTAGACTTGTATAATTATGTACATGTATTTTGGCAATGTTAGATAAAAACAAGTAATTTTATTTCGCGAGTAATGCTTCTTGCGAAATTACGAGATAATTCATTCTGTACATATATTTAGGAATCAACAGTTTAGCATACATTGTATCTTGGTTGAAGGAAACAGGGAGGAAGTATTTTAAAATTCCAATCTAATTATAATTAAAAATTCCGATTAATCCGTTACCGCTTCTGAGAAGCGGTAGCGGATTCGGAACTTCTTATTTTAAGATTGTTATAATCCCCTTATTCTTGCGGCGAAGTTAAGACCAAGACATTTAATGCAATCTTCAAAATAACAGTCTAGCTGGAAACTTTCTGTATATGATTGTTATGAAATATGATGCACCCACCAAAGTATCTTTATGTCATATAGTAAAATGACAAATACGTAGGATTGCAAATAAGTAAAAGGTATTAGACGATCTCGAATGTCAAAAAAATATGCCAAACCGGATACTTGTTCAAAATGGGATTGACCCTGAAGACATGTATGAAATACATCTCTCGATGCAAGTTAAATCTTGTGGTATGACCTATCACCTATGTGGTGATGCATATACGTCATTGATATACATGTATACAGTGAATATATCTACATGAATTATTTTGTTATAACTTGTATTTACATATGTATCTGCCCAGGAAATTATAGTTTAATTTGTTTATGTAACACAATTACAGGTAAAACTGAAATTCCGTCAGACTCTGACGATAAAACAGAAGATGAAGGAGACATCAGACGATTCAAAAAACGTGTATATAAGAAATCAGGACAAAGAAATATTCGCAAAGATACCTTGCAAAAAAAGAAAGAAGGCGGCAAAGAAGTTAGAAATGGTACAGATAGTTCAACGGGTATTTCGCTGAAAATTGCCTCCATTGCTCTTACTGATTGTGTGAATAAGAACTTACTGGACACTAACTCTGGAGAAGGAAATTCTAATGATGGACCAAGTCAATCAAAACAGGGAACACAGGAAGCGGAAAAGAAGGTTTCCGCATCTGCGCAGCCGGAAGTGGATTCCCTTGGTGTGCCTATGAAATTACTCATCCGTCCAAAACAGAAGCGAAGATTCCGGAGGAGATCAAGTACGAAAAGAATAGGAAAATGTCGCAGACGAAGAACGAAGTTCCGGAAGAAGGAAATCACGAAGAAAAATATTGTTCCGTTGACGTTTCAGGATGATATTGAGGATGACGTCTTCGCAAATGATGTACGAAAAATTTATCATTTTAGCTTCCTATTAATGATGATTTTTAATGTCATTGATCATTTTCTTTTCCTAAATGATTTGTGTTTGTTAGATTTCCAGTAATATTTTATGCTAATATTTATTAATCAGGACGTCCTTGGACTGTCAAGGAATGTGGACACTTCAGATGATCTACCACATACCAGCGCTACAATTCCTGGAGTGGGCCAAGAAATCAAGAAACTAGTGGTGTGTAAAGACACTGGAGAAACAATGTTGCATCGAGCTGCTCGACTGGGACATCTGGTGGGTAAACCATTGAAATGTCACATATAATTCTGTTTTCCCAAGGTTGCTAATAAATTTTCTATATAAGGTTGCAATCTGCACTGAAATGGAAATACACTAGCTACAAAGATATCTTTTATTCTTTCTACGCGTTCGTAATACATGTACAGACTTGGCCCTGAAATTTCAACATGTATGGTTCTAGAAGTACTGATATTAGCTGTCTTTATGGTATGTGATCTATAAAGTTTGAAAGAGTGGCTGTAAAGTAAATATCAGTGAAATTTATGCATCATTGACTTGCATTCTTTGCTATGTAAAAAATAACGGTGAAGAAAGCAATCGATGAAGATTTAAATTTCCATATACTCGTACATGTACGATGATTATTTTTTTATTATTATTAAATCTGATTTTATGTCCTGTACCTACGCATAGAAATTACGCAATTGAAGAGTGCGGAAAAAGCGGTCAAATTTTATTTCATAATTACATCCACATTGATAATAAAATCTGGAACTGTGCAGAGAACTTCTGAATTTACGTCAACACTGGGTTATTAAAGAAATAGCTATTTTTAGCTCGCCAAAGGCTCAAATGAACAGCTGTCTTTCCGTCTGTCGTCTCTCTTGTATATTTTTTTGTCATATTGTCGACCTCTTCTCCAGAACCACTTGACCAATTTGCCTCAAAGCATCACTGGGTGAAGAGGATTCAAGTTTGTTCGAAGAAGTGCAGCACCCCTTTTTCTAGGGGAGATAATTAAGATTCAGTGAAAATATGGTTGGGTCATTAAAAAATCGTTTATCTAGAACCACAGGGTCCGAAAAGACAAAACGTATGTATAGTGTACATTCAAATGTGTTCAAAACATGGTCTTTTTTAATTGGGCTAGGATTGGGAGTGAGAGTTTTACATAGGAAGATATATAGGAATATTCTTAACTCTTTCTCAAGAACAACGGGACCACAGTTAGTCATATTGATTTGCAAGCATCTTCATGTACTATACATTTAACTTTGCTCATTCATAACTCCCTGGGCTAGAATAGGACCCTAATTAAGGGTCATATTTTAATGTAAGCATATACAATAAAAATATTTGACAAACTTCTTCTCGAGTACATCAGGGCCACAATCAGTGAAATTAATGTTCTACAAAAAATGTAGTATTAGCATCTTATCAGCTGTTCATATCTATTAGTGTAGTTTCAGTTTTGTTGAAATACCTGCCCCTGGAACTAGGACGGGTCCATAATGGGGTAAACAGTCGACAAAGGGGGAAAAAATATGGGGTAAAGTCTTTTAGGAACAAAAACAGTTTGGCAACAATACTGTAGTGCCAACATATTCAAGAACTAGGTCACAGTGGGTCAAAACCAAGCATGGAGCACGTGAAAATTCGCCGCTTATGCAGTAATAATTCATGTGCTACGTATACCAGATTGGTTATCATTGTTAAAAACACACAATAGACCAAACTTATTCCTCATTTAGTCTGTATCTGTCTATCTCTCTCTCTCTTTCCATCGTTACATTTTACAATTTGCTTCTTTTTAAAGTGGTGATGTCTTATTCGTAGTTACATGTACTATTGCAGAATTTAATATCTCACCAAATAGATTTTGTATCTGATTTGCGTTGCGTATATTTCAGGATGTGGTTGTATATTGCCTACAGTCAGGGGATGTTGATGTTAATACGAAGGATAACGCGGGTTACACACCTCTTCACGAGTGCTGCGTCAGCGGAAACTTGGAAATAGCACGCTTGTTGTTATCACGTGGTGCAAACGTCAACTGCGCATCACAAGATGGAATTAGGTAACTTTTTCAATATTTTATATAAAAAAAAAAATGAAAAATTTTAATTTAGAAAAGACATAAACGTTTGTCAAATAAAATTTTATTTATAGTCATTGATTTGCAAGTGCATTACTAAACATACCAAATGCTGAATATGAAATATGAATTGATATTTTTCGTTTTTCGTAAATATGATATGATATGAAAATTTTCAGACCCATACATGATGCTGTGGAAAACGACAATGTTGAGATGGTCCGTTTGCTTATCGTGTATGGGGCGGATCCAACTTTAGCAACATATACTGGTGCTTCTCCCCTGAAAATTGCACATAGTGATGGCATGAGGTCGCTTATTACCGGTATGTGTGACAGATGTAACTGATATTCTTCAATATACGTCTTCCTTTTTATTCATAATTTTTATTCAAGCTTATATCAGTCAATAAACTATTGGCGGTTTCAATCATCTTTCTTTATTGCACATTTTATTTCATATGCATAATTACAATTACACAAATTATATTTCATTAAAGAACTCAAAAAATGTGTATGACATGGCCATACATCGTACATGTACTCTTCCTTTGGCTTTCATTTTTATGCTTATTTTTGCTTTCGATTTGAGATAAGTTATATTAGGACCTTCAACTTTGATCTGAAAAATATTAGGGTCATAGTACTCTGAAATCTTTGGTTAATGATTTTTTTCAAGTAATACTGACACGAAAGACGTAAAGGTCGTAGTATATAAATAATATTCAGGGGTTTCTTTTTCAGTACTTAAAATACATTAAATTATTTGTTTAAAGTCTTCCTTTTGTTATTTTCAGGATATTTAGGCGATATAAACGGATTCTCAGGGGACCAGATAACGACTGTGTGGGAGTTCGATCTATACGGGTCAGGTAAATAAGTAAAACCTATCTTTTTGTGTACCAGTACAATACTTGATGACGTAATGGAAGCTTATAGAGGGCTTTAAATGCACTCGTCACTGTTTATTGTGTTCGTAGTAACAGCCTCGTTTATTTAAATAACTAACCTCATGCATTGATTTTTTTTTTTTTTTTGCTATTAACTTCAAAGATATTTTAGATAAGAATGCACTTTTCATATGGCCGTTGCGTGCAGTTACATAAGATAACATTGAATATTGGGTTCAACTGAATTTGGAGATAAATGCACCACTTAACTTCGGAACAGCAACGAAGGCAATATTTTGTGGTTAATCAGCAACAAATTTTCTGTGATATATGCCATGAATTGACTGTTTTTTTTATTTTGCTTCACAATAGACAATAATGATAACCGAAAAATGATAGTAATAAAACATTAAATTACTGCATTGCCGCCGGATGCAAACATGTACGTCGAATCAACATTTTGAAAATAAAGGTCATTCAAGAATTACCCTCCAAGGTCTTCTAATGCGGAAATAAACCTGTTTAATTTTCCATCTCAGACTTGGTGAAAAACTTGCCTTTAATTCCCTGAGTTGTGTAGTTATAATAATGAAACATCGATTCCGCAGTGTGGGACTAAATCGGTTGCGGAAGACAGAAACTTGCTAAAATGTTTCATTTATTATCCTAGTCTCGTAATAAAAGTCACTGAGCTAGTCACAAATTTTCTCGGTCAAATAATTATAGGGAATTGTAATCACGATAGTTTTCACGTTTCTGGGAATTGTCAACTTTACGTGCATGTTATCGGAATTCAGAACTTCATGTTCAACAGCTTTAAAACATGTCTGTATTATGTTTTACATTTTTAAACTCTCATTCACACTCCAGTCATTAAATCGGTATAAACGTGACATCGTTCTTAAGGACGATATATATTATTTACACACAACATCGATTTTGATGGTTTTTATAAATAAGAGGAAAACTATCCCATTATACAACGTCAACTGCTTAAGCTTCCTCATCCCTCTGATCACTTATTTAAAATTTTGCTTTATATCGTTAACGATTTTCCAAAAGAAATCTATGATTAAAATGCACACAATTTCAGCCACCATGGTGTCAGAAGTTGACAGAAATGGCCTTTAAACTCGAAAATTTTTAATGTAATTATAGTCATTTATCCCACTTAGAGGATCCCTTAAATTTTCAGACTGGGGGTCGTAAAGAACCTTAAAGAAGGTAGATATTTGTTCTATTTGTCTCACACTGACAGCGGAAAGGTGAACAAGTGCACCGCGGAGCATCCCTTTGGAAAGCGCACATCGATCCCGATGTAAATTATTACTCCCGTGACACTAACTCATCCACAAACTCACAAGCGCGTTACTATATCTCTCCTACTTCGTTGCGAGAGGATAAGTCTAAGACCTCTTCAGGTTTCAATATCATGAACACATATATTACTGTGTCCATCTTTGAATGTCTGTATAAAACATGTATAAAATATACTCTGCGGCATTGATGCACCTACTCGAAACAGAAATTGCAATGACTAGTATGTGCTTGTGACAAACGGATATGCTGCGACTGTAAACCAAAGTCGTTTGAAAGGGTCATGGTCACAAGGATGGTGAGCATGTGGTTATTAAATCTCCAAATGGTGGGACGTAGGAATTCGTAGACTTTCAAAGTTTGTCTTTTTCGGAGAGTTCAGATTGGGAAAAGACAAAATATACTGTGTAGAACTTTACAAGTCATATTCTAACACAAGGAAAATACAGTACTTCACATGCTTTAAACGAAGGGTCATTAGGCAAAATTCCAGAGTTCCTTTCGTTCTGGTTTTAAGAAATTGGAATTTTTCTGATTATACATGTATATTTTTATATATTCATTGGTTTGGTTATATTTCCTTCACTATTCTTCTGTGAAAAAAAAATCAATTTGTATTTGTGCATTTCGTAGGCTGTTTGCCTAAAGGTCTTCAGTTTTTTAAATGCTGAAAATGATAAACATTCTCAGACTGAGTGCTTTTTAATTTCTAGGTTGTTTACCTGAGACCGAGGTATTCAGTGATATACCGGAAGATCCTCCAACAGAATCAAAGGACCAATATCTAGAGGAAGCCTCGCTTCCTTTATTTCCAGTGATCAGAATTCAAAATGGCGAAATCAATAGGTTGGTTGTGGCTTTTGACATTGTTATCATGAATACAGTCAAATCTTGATATTTCGAACTCAAAGCCCCCCCCCCCCCCCAAAAAAAAAAATATTAATATATCAAGGATTTGAATTATTGAGGTTAAAATACATAAAAAGTGGTTAGGAATTACATCTCAATGTCATATAGCCATTTTACAATACGTATTTTATTTATCAATATTCAAGATACAGAAGTTCAACTGTATTTAAGATAATAGAAAACGGAATACTTAGGAGCTACATATACAAAGGTAAAAAAATAGAAAAAAAATAATAGTTTTTACAATTATTATATATATTTTTTTTACAACAGATCAGAATCGTTTGTGCTGGTGAGAGATGTATGCGAATTCTACAGAGTCAAACCATCTGACGCATTGAATCATTTGGAACATTTAAGCATCAATGAACTGTCTAAAGACGATATTTTACAGAATAAGGAGAACTGCCTTCTATTTCAAAAATTGTCCATGTTATCAGCAACACAACTACCTGCTATAAGTGAGGGTTCTGTTGGGGACTTGATACAGACTTGTAAAAAATTGTCTAATGGTGCTGAAACTACTGTTACAAACCCTTCACCATCAAAAAGTGCACAGAAAGAATCACTTCTGCTCACAGCCAGAACCAGCACAACAAAAAGTCCTCAAAAACAAAATAATACACCGACAAAATCCTACAAACACTCACCAAAAAACTTTTCTAAAGAAAAAACTTCTGAACAAAAGACTGTAATTGCTAAAAGCAATTTGCAGAAGGATTCTTCAAAAACTCTGTCTTACAAGAAAAAGTTATTCTCAGAGGACTGGTCATCAAGTAAGCCCTCTACAAGCGGGCATGTTAAAGACAAAAGTCAGTCAGGGATTGTTAAAAGTAAACCGTCCCTAAATGTATTCGATCTGACCTCTACTGATGAGTCCACTGACGATGAATTTCACACCTGGGAACCGAATACTGATCTCAAAGTTGTCAAGTATCGACATGACAACATCGAATTAGTTTCCAAGTCGTCTGCTTCAAAGATTAAGCGCAAAAATTAATGTGGTATATATGAAGTTAAATTAGAACAAACTATCTAAATTTGGTAGAATATATCTGGTGTGTTTGTAACTTCGTTTCTTTTTAAATGTACATTTCCTAAAATGGTCATATATTGGTATGTCTGTGTTAGTTTCACGTAAGAGTGAAAAAGTCTTTAAGGCATAGGGCATTGATTATTGTCCAGTGGACATTAAATCACGTCATGTAAACTTGTGTCAAATGAACATTTACTGGGTGCTATGGGAAAACATTCATTTTTCAAGATTGTGCATGGCATAATAAAAACTACAAAGGTCATATGACTGTTGACATGAATTCATTGACGGATCTGATTTTCTGGTGCTTTGTTGTTTGTTTCCTTCTTTTATGTTGTCTTTCATTGTTCCTGTTACATTGTCGTTAAATGTTGGCAATCCATAATCTATCATCTTAATTAATTTACCGATCATTTTAATGTGGTTTTGGTGTTTATGAAATAATATACAAAGGTTAATTCCTGAAAACAGAAAATATTTTACGTTTTATGGATTTTTAGAAAATAAAACAGATTGACTTTACATGAAAGTAATTAAACATATTGTGTTACAATTTATTGTTAGCATTTTATAAGTGATCATTAATTTTACAACGATTATTTTAACGTTAATCTTGTACATACATATAATAAGAGAAAAAAACCTTATACAGTAGCATTTGTTAGATTTGAAATAGTTTATATTTTTAACTTGTTTCACTTTGTTGAGAAAGTCTAATGGTTTTTTAAAAATTTTTAGTCTCTGAACTGTTTGTTGTTGTATAATTAAGATAAACGGGTCAAATACATCCATATGTAAACCTGTGTCAAAGTGATCTCCATTGTAACTTTCACATTTCAAAAATGTGAATTTCTTCTCTTCTCATTTGTATCTTGTACTGTTTACCCAACGAAGTTGGACAATCTCATAAATAAAATTGAAACTTATTTCATTTCAAATTTAATGAAATGTGATTTGATGTTAAAAAAAAATCATAGACAGATTTACAAAATTGGTAGTAATGTATTCAAACTTATAAAATTTAAATGAAATTAGTTATATTTTGTGTTCATGGAAAAAAAAAGAACTGTTTTTCTTTGGATGTCCTGTTCATAATAAATTTCTTCTCAATCTTTGTATGACGTGTTGCAGTCTTTTTTTTTCAATAACAAGAATTATTTTCTTTGAATAATCCATGTAATTGCAAAAGGTAAATGCTTCCCAGCCAAAAAAAAAAAATAAAATAAAAAAAACTTGTGGAACTGATGACATAACTTATCAAAGAAATCTTAAGGTTCAGTACATGTTGATCATCATTTAAGGTGTTATTAAATCATGAAATGCAATTGTTTTACAGTAATTGTTTTAATCGTGGAAGAGAAATTTGTTGATGTTTACCCAAATTTTACAATCCGTGTTCGACTTCGTGAGACCTGACGAAGTCGATTGTCAAAAACGATTGTATTCAAATTTAGTTATAATTTGCTCCTGATTTACGGTAGGCAAACACTCCAAATGAACAAAATCAATTAAATCTCCACAAGCCAAGGGTATTCGGTCTGCTTCGCTCCCCACAAACCCTTGGCAGATTACACCTCTAAAACGGTAGCCAACATAAGAGACAACTGAACGCACTAAATTTTAACTCTACATTCCAGCCAATCAGGTAACCGTTTTCAAATTGTAGTTTGGTATCCATTGTAAACAAGAATTGAAGATGTACAGGAAAGAAGAGACAAAAGAACTAGTCGGTAACTACAGTTTTATCAACGGACGAAGAAATAGATATGAAGTCGTAATAAAATGTATACATGTGAACAAGAACCCGGGGTAGCACAACATTTACAGATGATTATTCGTGTGCAGTTTTTTTAAGCGACATGAAAGCTGTCTTCTCATTGGTTCTAAAGGTAGCTTGGAAGAAACAACGTATCAGCCACAGTTTTAGTGGCGTAATCTGCCAAAGGTTTGTTGGAAGCGAAAGGGTCAGAAGATCCTTGGCTTGCGATGACTTAACTTTTTTTTTTTAAACTTTTCATATTAAGAAGTATTCAAAATATGTCCTTCCATACCAAAGTGGCAGAAAATCTTATAAGTCCCCTACCGGTGAAACCGGAGGGGACTATAGGTTTCCTCTGAGTCTGTCCGTCCGTCTGTCTGTCTGTCTTTCTGTCCGTCTGTCTGTCTGTCTGTCTGTCAGTCTGTCTGTCCCTCTGTCTGTCTGTCAGTCTGTCCCACTTGGTTTTCCGCACTTTTTTTCTAAACGCTTGCAGATATTGAGCTGATTTTTGGTATGTGAGTGTATCTTGATGAGTTACAGATCAGGTTTGCATTTCGTTCCGCTTCATTGATTTTTGATGGAATTACGACCTCTTCAATTTTTAAGGGTTTTCCGCAATTTTCTTTTAAACGCTTGCAGATATTGAGCTGATTTTTGGTATGTGACTTTACCTTGATGAGTTATAGATCAAGTTTGCATTTCGTTCCGCTTCCTTGATTTTTGACGAAATTATGGCATTTTCAATTTTTAACGGGAACCAGATTACACTTGCTGGTAGGGGACTAGTATTGCTAATGCAATACTCTCAGAATGCTTGTTGGATTTGCATCTGCTGTATAATCACATATTTTTGTGGGGTCAAATTTTCGAGGTTTTAGGAAAACTTATGGGTTCGTGAAAATTTGATTTCGTGGATGAAGGATTGTTAAGTAGTTATACATATGGCATTTTGCATTTCGTGGTGGACATGAATTCGTTGGTCTCTTCATACCTCGAAAACAACGAAAAATTAAACCCCACGAAAATTACTGATTTCACAGTATGCTGAAATACACATATAGGTGGCACTGATTTTTTTTATTTGTTTGTTCGTTGTTTAATGTCCCTCTCAAGAATTTTTCACCCATATAAAGACGCTACCACTTGCCGGTGGAGGGCTGCAAATTTTGACCTATTGTATACTCGGCACTCACGGCCATTGAGCAGTGAGGGATCTTTTTCGTGCCAGCACCTACTGCGACACGGGACCTCGGTAAAATGGATATTGGTTAATACGAACACGTACATGTATATTTGAATTTCATGTATTACTTGTTAAATCAATTTTCATGTATTACTCATGAAATAAGCGTTGATTGATATTTGAACTCTTATTATTACTGGGACGTAAAATTCGCGTTAGTTACAATATGTAAACGTATTACTCGTTTTTGTGTTGATCAAATACACGTGCATTTGAGTACCTTCAGTAAAGAATTAGAATATGAGTATACATTTCGATCCAGAAAAAAAAATTAAACATTTTTTATAATCTTTCATTATATTTTTGGATCAGATTGTGCTCTATACGAAATATTGAAATCTACTTGCTAGCTGAAACTTTTAGCCATTTTTAAGAGATTTTCAGGATATGGGAATGATGACGTAAGCAGTTCATGACTTCGTAATGCACGGATTCTTCAGGAAATTACGTCATTTTTCAACAGATACATGTATGCAGCCACCAAGAGTTCAGCTGAAATATAGTGCATTGTCAATTAAAAATGAGCAGTGTCATTTTTTCAGAAATTCAAAGGGCCGAAAAAGGTCGTTAGTGAACTTTGCTCTCTTAATAGCATGCCTCTTAATACATGTACATGCCCAACGTGCATGTATTACAGGTAAATTCGACACTTTGGTTACGGCAATACGGGAATTTTCTTAACAGCTTTTTAAAATAGAAACTCAAGGTCAAAAAATTAATAAATTCTGCCTTAAGATAAGTACATAGACATTTTTTACCAATCAAATCTACATAGAAATAATTTTTATGAATAAGAGATAGGTTCATTGCAAGATATCTTTAAGCTGATTGGTAGATAGTCGAGTTAAGGAAGAATTTGAAGAATTAAGAAATTTGAGAATACTGTATTGTGTTTTTTCCCTGCATGTGGTTGTAAATGTATTCATTTAGAAACAGACAAATTATTGCTATCAACAGCAGATAACCGAAAAAAAAAATGTTTAGGAAAATAACAGAGTGAAAAATTAATAAAAAGCTGCATACAGCATACATGTATGAATACTCATTAACTTCATCTCATTAGTGTTTGTCCTTAATTATATTTCTAAATGTTCAAGCTCTCCAAGGTGAAATTGTTTGAAAATGTGTGCAGATAATAACATTGCATCATACGGGTTCCAGAGTGCTCAGATAGAGTTCACGAGAATGGTTATAATACATTGTAGCAGATAACATCTTGTGCACTAAAAATCCCTGTCATCGCGTGCCTTTGTGACGTCACTATACACTCAGAAACTTTTATCAGGTTCATATTAACCAAGTTTTGAACTCACTGCACAGAACAAATGTTACGAAAATGACAAATGTCTACATTTATAGCATTCTATATGACTGAAATATAAAGATAAATGTCATGTTTTTCAGTCCTAAAATATTAATAGATATTTGAAATGTTATTTTTGTGTACTATAGAAACTGAATGTCTGGAATTGTGATTAACAGAAAAAAGTGTTTGCTGAAAAAAAAAAAATCATTGTCATTTTCAAAATGTACAGTGTATAAACATGTATTTACGTATGGAATCTTGATTAAAAAAAGGTCGAAGTAGGTAAAAAGTGATACTTAAAGCGCAGTGTTTTATCTAGATTTTGTTTAACCTTCACTTCACAAAAAGAAAACATAGAAATATCTCATTTTATGTAATCTAACATAAATTCCATTCTTTTTTTTTTCCAGAGTCTTACACAGTAACACAAGCTATTACCAAGCATGTCAGAATGAAATTTGCATCCTTGAACCAGCATATTAATGTCACATTTGTTATCGTTGAACCAATGATAAGATTTATGCATTTTTTTTTTAAATAAAAAAAACGGTGCTGATTACATTCTACTGAAAACACAACATAATTAATGCATTAGGTTAGAACCAAATTAAGAGGAGTAATTTGTGTGGTATGTAATTAAATTTGCGGAGGCCCACTGTGGAAGAATGATCAAATTGTTTGCTAACCAGAAAACCACAAGACAGCTATGCAATGAATGTCATCAGTGTCGGAGATATAGTATAGCATTAGTGAAAAACCGGTCGAAAATTCTGTAAACCCAGTGCTGCCTAATGCTAATCGAAGTAATCAAACATCATGAAGATCTATAGAATTAAAAATGTTTATACAATGTGATTTTATATATCACTTTTTTTTTAATCTTATAACTGATTTCAAAATTAAAATTTGAATAAAATGTCATTGGGCTTTATTTTTAATCGTGAATATGAGATTATGCATGATTACTTTAATTTTTGTTAAAATAAATTCGATTGTGATTTTTTTGCTGATATTTTCATTTATCAAATATTTCCGGGAATGGACAGAAAAAATGATCAAAATATGAATATAGAAAATATGAACTGCTTAAGTTGTGAGAAAATATTTTCGAGATAATCAAAATTTGATAACATGAAATTCATTCAAAGGTATCTTCTGCATTGACAGAGAAAAGTTTATTCACTGTGAGCATAAAGGTAAAAATCTAGAAGGTTTATTAATAATCCGGATAATGCACTATACAATTATAGCCTTTTGATGAAGTCAATCCCCAGATATATAGAGCTTAGAGAAAGCATATCGACCAAGCACTTCGTG